ATGGTTGTAAGGGGAAGAGACTGCAGGGTCCTGCGGGAGAAGCACTTTCTGGGAGTGACTTCTGCTGCAAGAGCAATTCATCCCCTCTGCAGACCATGTTCTGTCTGGGAATGGGTAGCAATTTGCATGAATGGTCTTTTGGTATGCAAGTTGTACACTTGTGCTGTAGGCATTGGTGTTGAAAATAATGCAAAGCAAAATAAAGTAGACTGAGATTTCCATAAGAAGTTGGTAGCAAATTTAATAGTAAATGGCCATTTCTTTATTTGCATATCTACCTTATATTATTGAATAACAGTGTAATTAACATTTGCATATAGATTCTGTTTCTGTGCAAGTTACATAGGTATGGCTGGGGCAACTTCATGATGTATTAACATGTACAATTCCTTTGCAGCAGCAAACCATGTGTTATCATCTTTGTTTGATCAATTCTGTGTAGGTAACTCTTTCCTCTTCTTTTATAGGTAACACGGTAGCAAAGAATAGATCTCTGGGTCGCTACCAGAACAATGGCATGTGCAGCTGTTGCTTGGCTGTTACACAGAGACCTTTTTTTGTGTTGATGCTATTGACTTAATTCTTTGAACTTGCAAAATTAGTCAGCAAAAAGGACAATACTTCTTCTTTCAACTGTGGCTGCAGTTCCTGAACCTGGATTTTGCTGCACAGAATGGTATATTTTAATTTCACAAGAAAAAGCAAGGAGATTTGGTTCTACCTGAAATGCGCCTTGGATTCCCAAGGATCTGACATCTGGCAGAAATTCGTGGAAGCACACACCTTAACTTCTGCAGTGCATCAAGGATAAGACTTTCTTAATGACACTGAGATATGTAAAACTGTTTTAAATTACTTTAGATCATGAATGTAACCTAGGAGGTCAGAGAAAGAAAATGCTTATGTCAGAATTGATACGGATGATCTTAAAGGTCTTTTCCAACCTAAGTGATTCTGTGATTCTGTGGATTTGTCTGAGGTACTTCTCACATACAATACAACATAAAAATACAAAGCTGATCCCAATGCTAAGTGAGTTGGCAGGACAGTGTTAGTAAATTATGTCTTAGTGTATTTTCAACTGTGATTAAGTAACTATCATGGTTGTATGAAGGCGAAAAGATGGATGTTGTAAATCAGTAACAATTATTGGAAGACTTACTTTGGTTATATCTGTGCAGTTAGATTTTTTCCTTAGATAGTTCTAGGTAGTTTAACTTTTACATTCATAAGTGATGGCAGGAAAGCATGAGGAAGAAACAAAATTTGAAAGTAGACATAGTTTTTCTTGTCCTAAAATAAATCCATTCTCTAGGGGAATAGCAAAGTATACATATTTCTTGCCTCTTTGAATCTAGATATGGAAAAGAATTTAGCCATTAGCTAGAAATATTCATTCAGATGCCTCAAAAAAAGGAGAGCATGCTTGTGCTGCATAAGGAAGGCTTACTGGAAGGAGGGTAATTTGTTTGGATTTTCATAGCTTTGGTTATAACCTAATAAGTAGCATACTTAAAATTCATAAGCGAAATTCTAGATAGAAGTAAATCTTCACTTTCAGTTAGTTCTTGTTTAGAATGATTATAATAATTAAATGTCCAATTCCTTGACAGACGGAATTTCCAAGTGGTACATTTTGTGACACATAATTGTTCCATATTATTGTAGATGCATTTCATACTGTTTTTCTTATTTGCCTGTTTGTCATCAGTCTTCATAAATAGAACAGTAAGTAGAGGTGAAGCTGTATGGTGTCTGTTCCCCATTACATCATTTTGTGACTTAAGATGCATTGAAACAGACTGAAATGCAGCAATGCAGATGGCTATCATGCAGACAAACTTCTGCTGACCCAGCTACTGAGTTGGTTATTATGCTTTATGTAAATATTAGGGTAACAATGTACATCTAATTTTTATATAGACAGAAAAGCAAAAAAAAAAAAAAATTGTGTTGTACTAGTTTAGGTCATTGTGCATCAGCTTTCTAGTTAATGGGAAAGATAGCATCAGCAGTGTGAAGCTGTTCAGAGTAATAATTATTAACTTTTGATTTGCTGGAGTGAGTGGGAACATTCAGCCAGGTAATTCCATTGAAGTCAGTGGTGGGAAGATCTGGCCTTGTGTTTTTTGGTTTTAATTTCTCTGGTTTGGTTCACTTTCCATTATGTATTTGAT